TGAAATGAAAGACTGAATCATGAGGTCTAACCTATCAAAAGATAGACCAAACATCGTTCTACAAAATGAGACATATCTAAGCTCTGTGCAATAATGCCTTCGGTTTTTATAGGAATTTTACAAACCGAGCCCGACCGAGCCTAGGCTCGGGGCTCGGGCTCGGTCAGGCTCGGTCCGGGTCTGTTTGTAAAATTCTTATAAAAACTGAAGGCGTCGTTGCACAGGGCTTGGGTATGTCTCATTTTGTAGAGCGATGTTTGGTCTATCTTTTGATAAGTTGGGCCTCATGATTCAGCTTTTCACTTAAGAGCTCAAGGTTTTGAACTAAAAGTGTTTGAAAGTAACGAAAAAAAGCTCGGTACATGCCTAGATGTGACTTAGTAATATAAAATGTGGCGAAAAATACGAATCAAAGTTAACCAAAGTCAAAACTTTTGGATTTGAGTTTTTGATTTTGTTGTTCAAGTTTCAGAGATTAAAAGAAAAGTGATTCTGAAAGAATGAATTTGTCATACTTTCCTGTAAACTTGAACATAGATATCACATAGAAGTGAACTTTTAATAATTGTATTACACATCGATCAAAACTAAAGATTTTCAAGAAAGACAAATGCTTACAATAATCAAATTATCTTTTAGACACCTATTAATAATTTAACCTTGACAATGCGGCCAGTAAAGGATGTGAGTGTGGTTGTAGAGATAGATTTAATCCATATACATTCTACAGTATTTTCTTCGTTAATTTACCTACACTCTAAATAACTCTAAGTGTGCTTTGACTAAAATCTTGAATACAATTTAACTTTTTATACTGCTATCGACGTTGCTGCTGAAAATCGATTAGTTATAAAACGAATTCTCTTATTTGAAATGTGCTTTATTTTAATACAAAAAGAAAGGTTTGAACTACTCAATTAGTATTTATTATCAATAGTTGAAGTTTTTTCCTGTTCTAATTGTCCATTTGTTAGTTTGAGAATATCGGTAATTGTTAATGATTTACCTAGTTGTTCAATAAATATTTCTGAGTATAATTAAGTGAAAAAGAAAAGAAAATAATACCTTTTGGAATATCGTATGCAATTTCAAGACCTAATGGATTACTTGGTGTCTTGCAATCCATATATGGCTCTTTTCTTAAACATTGGTCAACATCAACTGAACTGAAAAATGCAACGGACTAAAACACACAAAACAATAAGGAATCATCCAAATATCTAAAAATTAGCTTACAGCTGGCAAATCATTCATATTTAAACGACTTGCAAACATTGCACGAGTCAATAAATTAGTAATTTGTAATGCAAGACAAGCTCGATATCTAAAAACAAACGTAAAAATATGTCTTGAAAATTAATTCTAATTTGTTGTTTTTTTACCGATCATCCGTATGACACATATAGCGAACTTCATCATGAATACCTTAGAAATGAACAGAGATATAAAATAACAAGTATAAAATATTTCTTTTACTTAAAGCAAATCGACAACGTATATTATATTTATCGATAAGCCATTTCATACAAACAAGCATCAAATGAAGATAATCAACAGCTGAACTTTGTACAACCCAATTAATACGACTTGTCATATACTAATAAAATGTAATTGCAGCTAAATATAACTAGATTTAAAACACTCATTTTTTCTTACAGCATCATTAACATTGAGTGGTTCAAGTGCTCGACTAATACGACAATCAAGTACAGGTGTTTTTGGTGATGTATCACGAGCAATCACTTCAAGACTATTGAACATTTCAGATTCTGAACCATCTTGCCATAAATTAGTTGTTCGATTTCTGAAAAAAAGATTCAGCATCTCAACAAAAGAAAGAGAGAAAAAAGAAAAATCTTTCATACCTAGTTCCTTTTGTTTTAGAATACATAAGATTTGCTTTTTCTTTTGCTTCCGCAACTGATAATTGATGATTAAATTGCATTAGTAATTTTTCTGCAAAGGCTTTTCCTGCTCCATACATTCGTCCATAGTTAAATACCTTAATAAATCAATTAATCGTTAAATATCTCTTTGATAATTATATTTACTGACTTTTGCTTGATCTCGACTAATACCAACTAAATTAGCTACTTTACTATGAAGATCAGTTCCATCTTTCTTTTTTCCTTGTAAATTCATCCAACCAAATGCTGTTGAACCTAATTAAAACAACAATTCCTGTTCAGAATTTAAATATATTCGTTCATAAATATACCATGTATTCCAGTATAGTTTGCATCAGCAAGAATTGAAGCAATCCATAATTCTTGACTATCGACATCTGCACCAACAAAACAATAACCCGATGGTGTTTGTACCATAGCTTTAAGTTCACTTCCAATACGATCAGTCTAAAATGAAACAAATAAATAAAGTCTTTATTCAATAAAATTAAAACATAATCAAGCTTTCTACTTGAGCATTTGATGCAGTTAACCATGTTGGTTCAACAGCTCGTCGTGTAACTGTACCAGCAACGACAACACGAGGTAAGATAATAGATGTACCATCATCTTTTATTTGTACAGCCATTTGAGATCTTATCGAATAAATTAAAGATTTTTATTTTATTGTTATTGTTTCTAAAATTTTACTTGATTCTCTTTTCATTATTTTCCCAATAGCTTAACATTTTACTCCATTCAAGAAGCCATTTAGCAGCTGTTGATTCATGAGCACGTAATGTTCCATCAGCAATTTTTGAAGCAAATGATTTTGCTAAAGGATTACCAACATTTTTTTCATTTCCATCCTATATAATCCAATATTCTAGGCATCAAAATCGGATTTTTGTCTTTTTGATTTACTTTATGTGGTATTTTAAAAAACCAACAACCAGGTACATTTGATACTTTATAAGGTCCATTGCCTTGATGAACAGAACAAGATGTACCAGATGGAAGAAGTTTTTGACGCTAGATAGAAAAATTATCATAAATGAAGAAGAATTAATAGATATCTAACATACTTGTTGAAGTAATTTTTCTTGTTTTCGTAAAAGATTTTCAATAAAAAGATGAGCTCCGGGTTTACTTTCAAGTTCTTCAATATCTTTTGCTAATACTTTTAAATTATCATCAATGTCTTGTAATTCCATATTTGTTTTACTACGTTCAAATGGTTTTGTTTCGGCACATACTTGTTTGATTGCTCTTGGAAAAGAATAAAATATCTGTTCAAATTTAACATGCATACTTACTTATATGGAAAATCATTTTCTTCTTCTTCTTCTTCTTCTTCTTCTTCATTGATTTCTAAACCTGGCACTAAATATCCCCATCCATGTTTTTCATTATAATGTAATGGATAACCAAGCCAAGTAAGACGCAATAACTTGGGAACAATACGCATTTTAGTAGATATTAATTGTGGACCTGGTTTCCAAGATGATTCTTCATCGTTTATATTATCTTTTGGTTGTTTCATACATAAATCACGATACCAACTATAAAAACAAATGAAACTCAAATATTTTTATCAAACATGATTTGATTTTCAACCTTGGATATCCTGGCATATGTGGTTGAATTTTAGCTAAAGTAGAATATGTATCAAGAATATTTTTTATATTTGGACTTGGAGCTAGTTCTGGATCATTGTCTGTCATTGTTTTAGTGGGCCAAATGCTTCCAGCAATTCTGAAAATAGGATTATCTTTTTTTTCTTCAAGTTTTGTTATTGATGATTTAGCTTTTGTTGATTTAAGAAAACGCATTGATTGAGTACTCCAATCAAGATCCCATAGCCAAGGATCTTTTTTATATCTAATAGGAATAAAATTAAAGATAAACGAAGTTTTCATATATGTTTAATACTTTTGATCAATAGCTTGATGACATGCGTCATTAGCAATTTGCATAAGTACATGTTGAATATCGGAATTAATACTTTCATATGTTCGTTCAGCTTCATGAATAAATCTTGTCCAATTATTATTGACTGGTAAAAACATTCGACTCATTTCAAGCATACCACTTAATGTTACTGGATGTGGAAATCTATATTCGTGATTAATATTACAAAAAGAAAAACCAAAAGCTAAATTCATTTTAATGAATTACCTTTCTTCAAACATTGGATAAACTTTTTGTGTTACCTCAAATGTTGCTTGTACATCATTTGCACAGTAAGTCATTAGTTTCTTTAAATAAAATCAAAAATAAATAGTTTTACGTTAAAATTCGATTTACTTGAAAATGTTGACGGACATCAGAAATATTTCCATCAATGAATACTTTTTGCATTGTTTTACTTAATGGTACTTTTGGTTTACAATAAAGTTTATGTACAGATACAAGATTATTTAAACTACTTTCCAATTTCCATCGAAGATTCTTAATATAATTAAAAAAAGTAATATATGAGAAATTTTCTATCGGATTATTTATAATATTAACAATAAAGAATAATAAATTAGAAAATTTATCTATTGTTTTAATATACTAGATTTCTGATTTTATATTTTAAAGGAAAATCATATGGTAAATCAGAATTTCGTCAACTGAATTTCGGCAATTTCTCCAATTTCTAGGGTCCACAAAAAATAAAATTTATTCTATTTTAGTTTTATGCTTTTCCAACTGCACTGATTTTCATATTTTTCACCTTTTACTTCTGTTAGGTGTAAGTTGAGTGTGCGTCGATGGATGTGTTTCCTTTAGTCACACCCCAAAAAAGATAAAAGAGACTGAAGCAATCAAAATATTCTTACAGATTTAAAAGGTGTATAAGCATAAAACTAGAACTGGTTAAATTTGACTTCTCGTGTACCTATGTTTTCCTGCCGTACACAACGTTTTCATATTATGTCTTGTATGAAATTTAAATGACCTGCAAACAGAAATTTATCTTGTTCTTGGAAAAATTTTTATATTGAAATATATGACACTAACACATGATTCGAGAACCGACACGATAAGCACGGAAATCATCAGCACCAAAAAGTAAAGCATTCAAAAGCAATGAAGATAAATATGACGTCTACTAAAAGATTAATGAATGTATATGGGTAGGTGTGTGAGTATTAGCCTACTTCTCTTCATTTTCATTCATTTGCGCACCTCTTACTTTCATTTTTTTGTGAGTGCTTTACTTTTCAATACCAAAGCTTCCTCGTGCTTATCGTTTACCAATCAAATAATTCATAAATTCAAGACTATCCATTTTCAAAACAAACATACTTGTGTGTTGCGCATTTTTACATATGCTTTTATATCTTTATCTTTTTCACTAGCTAATAACATTGATAGATGTTGTTCATCAAGATCTTCTTCTTCAGATATGTCATCTTTATCAACTGTTTTTAATGATGAATTTTTTTCAAATGCTTGATATTGTAATCGTTGTGCATGTGTAAAACCCGAACACATTATATGTAAACTCATTGTATCAAGAAAACGCATAGCAGTACTCTAAATTATGAATTTTGAAAATTCTATTCAATCGGTTATTTTCATTTTACTTCAAATTGATATTGTTCTTTAATATATGTGCGATCAAATCCAACATTATGACCAATAATAAGTGATGGTATTGATGGTTTTGATTCCATTGGTATCATATCATTTAATTCAACATTGCTTTTTAAACGAAATTCTTCATCAAATAAACGTGAACTACACCAAGAATACCTGAAAAATAAAAGAAAAATTTTTGATTCGAAAATATATTTCTACATAGTCTATCACTCAAAGTACAAACCAATGATTAGGTGAAAGTGCAGTAGCTAAAACGGGAAAGTTTCCTTCACAAACTAAAGTTTCAACATCAAAAACTAGCACTTGTTCATCTGGATAATCGACAGAAACTGCTGTTTGATTATCTTTTGAATACCTTTTTAGAAAAAAAGAAATCATCAGGTTTTTAATCAAAATGACAAAAAATATTAATTCAAAACAGACTGTGTCCATCCTTTAGCATATTTCCATTGAGTTGGTTGCGGTGGTATATTAGCTTCAATTAATCCATGAATAAGATCAACGTAAGGTTTTGATTGTTTTTGTGCAATAATTTCAAAATGTTCAGTTAATTTATTACTTTCTAATGGAGGTAAATCAAATTCAATATTATCAAGTATTTCACTTTCACTTGAACCAAGATCAAATTGCTGAAGATGAATTTTAAATTTTTCAATATCATTTTCTAAATAATCTGGTGCACCAACTGATGAAAATAATTTTTGATACAATTTCGAACTAAGCATTTGAATATCTAACGGATTTCTACGACATGTAGATAGTAGACGATAAGGATATATACAAAAACGATGATGAAAACGATGTGATAAACATTGTCTTAGAAGCATCTGAAAAATTACCTTCTTCATTTTTTTTTATTATTCCAACTTAATTGAGTTTTCTTAGATAGAATCGTATTCAATATATTAAAGAACAAGAGTAACTTATGTTTCTTTTTATGAGATTATTTATAAAACAGATGTACCACACAAAAAAAAACAAGTTATAATAAAAGAAGATAGAATAATTTAAATATGAAATGAACTATCAAATAAAATGAATTGTATCACAATTTAGCTGATAAGTTTTATCAAAACACAATAAAACAAAAGATTTCCAGAACCGAATTGAACATTCTATTATGATTATTATTCATAGCCTTTCCATGATTGCTGATTTGGTGTAACGTAGATGTTTGTTTGACCATAACGACATTGCACAACACCACGATAAGCTGTTCGAGGTACATTGCTCTAAAAAAAAACATTTTAGAATTATTATGAATACAGAGCTGCGCATTCATATATTGTGGATCCGAATTCGGTAGGGTCCAGATTCGAGTTTTTTCTGCCCATATCTAGTATCCTTTGTTTACATGAGCAAGAGAAGGCACTCGATGCTTAATAAACTAAAAGTTTTCGTCTAGTTGAAAAGAGCATTATGTTAACAGAAAAAAAGGAAATCGAACAGTTAAATGAAAATGAAATTCGTCATTGAAAATCGTCAAACCAACAGTAACACGAAAATTTTTAGCTGTATGGAGTAATTTTAGTTGTATTTATGTAAACGAGATCATAAAAGTAATGAGTTGTGAGTCCACTTTTTGGTGAACCAGGATCCGCAGCTTCCTAATTATGAGCATCATTTTGTACTTTTGTTAGCAAATATTTTTTTCTATGAGGGAAGTACTTCAATTGGTTGGTCGCTTTTGAATCGGAACTATGTCTAATATGTAGATCCTTTTTTAATTATTGCCATGATGTTCGCCTCAGAAATATCTGAAGAACTGATTTTTAAATTTTGATTTGAAACTTTCACACCGAAACAAGGTTTAACGAGAATAATGTATTGTGAGTATTCCAGATTTTTGTTCACGATGCACAGAATCTATCTGTTTGCATCCACGTACGTTGGATGAAATTATTTAGTTGCAGGAAAATTTTTTCATCTAGGAATTTGAATAAAGAAAAGTTTCTCTTGTAGTAGTGAATGCATAAGATTCGTACACAGCTTCTATGATTTATTTATCAATAGAAAGTATCGAAATAGTTTATTGTTTTATTTAACTATAGAACATATTCCTTTTTTGTGAATGGAAACTGCTTTTAACGATTGATGATCAATAAAGATTAGTGTTTTATATGACTTTTCTCTGTGTTAAATAAAACGAGTGTTCTTTTGCTTTCTTTGAATGTGCAAGTGACAAAGTGAATTCAGTTTTATCTTTATTTTATATTAGGAGAAATTTTTCATTGTAGTGGCAAATTCTGCGTCTCGGATCTTTTCGTTGTTGTTATCTTACGATATAGCCATTGTACGAGCATGTCTTTTATATCCCTCATATACAACAGAAGATACGATTTTTCTATTTCGGGTTTGAAACAAATCAAAATACATGGAATTACCAGAATAAACTATTTCCACATATTTCTATCTCTGTTCAAAGTTTCCAGTCAAAATTTGAAAAATCAAATTTCCTAGTGTAACTCTTCTCAGGATATTCATAGCTCATTAAGATCTACCTGATGAACATAACTCCGATCCAAAAATGATAAAAGAGTCCAAGAGCTTCCCGTGTAATGTTGAAATGTCTTTGAACTGACTTAGGACAAGAACCGAAAACTGTATTCGGTATTTGAAGCTTTCAAACATATTCCAAATCGAAAACATTGACTAACTTATATGATTATGAAACATCATTTATCATTGTGAAATCTTCATGAAGTAGAGATACACTCAACTCAATAGAAGATTTTTTTTTCTTAATAAATCAACCAGAATAAAAGATTAGTTTATCAAATTTTAAATCGAAAATAAACATTAACATTACTTTTAAAAGCTGTAATACTTGAAAAGTTTAAGGAAACGATTTATATTCATATTATGTTTCTATCATTTTTGTTTTAATATTACCTTTAAATCATTCATGATTTCCAGTGTATCAGCTATAGCAACAAATTCTTTTTTATTACTATAGCGTAGTTGAGCACATTTCATTTCACTTTTAAGATGTCCTAAATCAGATATACTAATAACTGGACAAGCATCAATTTGTGCTTGGAACGCTGGATCATATTGATTCTACAAAAAATAAATAAATATTAACTTATATTTAAACGAAATAAATTTTTTTTTTGCCATACTTTAAGAAGATAACTAATATCAATAGATTTCCAATCAACAGGATCATTATTTTTAACAATTTTTCTTAAATATCGGTCATAATGTTGACCTCTAGAAGTAAATAATAATTAAACGATTATATGACTTAACTGAATATACTTACTGACTAACTCCTTTTTTACCATCTGGTGATATAGCTGTACGAGATATTTCCGGACGAATACAAGCACGATCACGACGCTGTTCTGGTAATCGCATCCAATCATCCCAAAAACTACGTAATCTCATCAATTATCGAATCTTTTTAAAAGTTTTTAAATACCCTGCAGGCCAGGTAGCTTTTATTTCATTCCAAATAGTTTTCTTTAATAACCAACCAAGACCAGGAAAAAAGTCAGTACGATGAAGAAGAGCTGTTGAAGAAAAAAAAAACGATATCAAAATTCAGCATTGATTAGCTTTTCTTTTTTCGTTTACTTGATTCTCGAGCAATTCTTTTTTCAATACCATTATCATTCCATGCTGATATACACCATAGAGATTTATCATATACTAACAATGGATAAAGTGTTTGAAAATAATCAAGAAAATCTGGTGACACTTCCAAATCATCTATGTATAATAAAAACAAAGATTGTTGTTATTGTTTGAGTTTTAAAATATTTTTAAATAAAAAGCAAACAAACCTTCTGTAATAATAATTGCTTCATAATTAAGTGTATTAAGAACATAATTGATAGAATAATTATAATGACGTGCTATTTTATAATATCCACTCATATGACTAAATTGTGAAGGAACATGAATAGGACCAAGATCGGGTAACTAAATAGATTCAGATAAAAACGGAGAATGATCGAAAAGTAATTTGAAAGCATTGAGCTAAAACTAGAATGTTGTGTTCTTTCCGAATGTGATGGATTCTTTAGAGATTCATCAATGAAATTTGGTGCACTAAGAATTACCCAAAAAATAGAAGCGGAAATCATTATAAATACAACGAATAAGAGAGCAAATATTTCTCTAACTTAATATGCTAACGATTCATTTGCGACAAGTCACCTGTAACAGTATGAACTGTATCAGGAGATAGCGTGTTAACTTACGAAAAAAGGTTTCCAACTAATTCACGCCATTTTCAATGATATTTTGTTCATAGGTTGGAGATATTGTTCTGAGAAAAATCTTAAGAGCATTTGGTCTTGATGAGAATTTCTTCGAAGGTTATGGCCATTTTACTGATTTCTCCACCTTACATAAGGTGCACACAGAAAAATAGAACAATAGAATTTCAATCTGAACTATTGCTCATATATAGCTCTCGCGGTCATTAGAATATCCTCAAAGTTTCAGTGAAAAAATGTTCTCTCTTGTCATGATGTTGAATTGCTAAAAAAGGTAAATATTTCCGGACTTTATAAATTATAAGACAAGTTTTTAAGAATTGTTATCTCTAAAAAAAAAAATTTTTTTCCACTAAAACCTTTAGCATCTCCTAATGACTATGAGAACTGCATCTGAGTAATATTTTAGATTGAAATTCTATTATTCGATTTTTCTATATGTACCTTGTCTTAGGTAGAAAAAGTCAATAAAGTGGCCATAATCTTCGAAGGAAGTCCCATCAGCCCAAATAATCTGAGGATTTTTCTTAGGATTATGTCTCCCACATACGGACAAAACACAATGATAAAT